TCCAAAGGAAGAAAGAGAACGTGAACAAACATCTTTCAGCAATCAAAATCCCTGGCAAGACCAGAAAGGGGTTTTCGCAGCTCCTTCTGCAAGTTCTTTAAAAATAAAAATGGGAACGCGACTGGTGAAGATTTCTGTGGTAACTTGGGGCTGGTGATGACATCAAAGCTTTTCCATTTCCTGGTCCAGTGGATCAGAATACAGAGAAAAAACTAATGAGACTCTCTCGATAGATCCTTCACCCACCAAACAAGATTTCTGCAGAAACCAATTTGCTCTTGCACATGACCCTGAGCAAGGAACAGCTGTGTGAAACATACTTAAAGTTGTATTGTCAAGTGGTAAGATGAGGCTAAAAAGCTTGTATATATATGTGTGTGTGTGTGTGTGTGTGTGTGTGTGTGTGTGTGTGTGTGTGTAGGAATATATATATGTATATATTTAAATCCCTAAGGAAAACTAGTGTAAATACTTACATAGGAAATTAAATCAACATAGAAGACATTGAAGAGATGAAAATTAGTCTATGGTTAAGGTCTGGCTTTTTGAACCTCAACACTTAGAAAAAGGGAAGTGAAGACTTTTCACATCATCACAGAAAAATATGATAAATTTGGAGGAAAATAAACGTTTTTAAGAACAACAAAAGAAGAGCTTCTGGTCTAAAATATAATAACTAATAGTAAAATTTTATATAAGAGTTGAATGATAAAATTGAGGAAATGTTCCAGAAAGCAGAACAAGAAGATAGAAAATAAGAGAAAATAAAAGAGACTCAGAGTATTAGTTCAGAAAGTGCAATATCCAAACAATAAGAGTGCCAGGAAGAGAATAGAGAAAATGAGGAGGAGGAAATTGTTAAAAAACAAAAGAAAAGAAAATTTAACAAAACTAAAAGACATAGTATATTATTAGATCAGGGTTCTTCATACAGACAGAACCAATAGGAGACAGGTAGATACTTAGGTATTATACATAGATATATAGATAGATAGATGAGAGATTTATTAGGAGTATTGGCTCATGCAATTTTGGAGGCTGAGGAGTAGCATGATAGGCCATCTGCAAGCTGAAGAACCTGGGAAACCAGTATCCTGGCTCAGTCCAAGCCTGAAGGCCTCAGAAACAGGGTAACTCTCAGTTTGAAGCCAAGGCCTGAGAGCCTGTGGCGGGGGAGGGGGGGGCTGGCGGGGGGCGGGGGGGCCACTGGTGCAAGTCTCATAGTTTAAAAGCCAAACAACCTAGAGTTCTTACATCCAAGGGTGGAAGAAGAGGGGTGTCACAGCTCTAGAAGAGAAAGAGAGAGCAAATTTGCCTTTGCTCTGCCTTTTTTTCCTATCTGGGACCTTCGCCGAGTGGATGGTGCCCACCCATGTTAGGTGAGGTGGGATCTTCCTTATTCAGTTCTCTGTCTCGTGCCAATCTCTTCCAGAAACGCTCTCACAGACATAGCCAGGAATAATGCTTTACCAGCTGTGTAGGTATCCCTTAATCCAGTCAAGTTGACACCTAAAAATAAACATCACACACTTGTCCCCGGATTTAAGGAGCCCATCAAGTACCCAGCACAATTAATGGGAAAAAACTCACACCAAGATCCACCCTAATAAAATTTCAAAATACCGGAGATAAAGAAAAGATTCTAAAATTTCCGTAGAAGAACATATAAGTCACCTATAAAAGTCCAGGAATTAGAATGGCACCAGATTTCTCAGTTGTGAGCTACAAGAAAGAATGTTTTCCTTTAAAACTCTGAAGAAATATTATTTTCAACCTAGAATTCTATACCTTGTTATATTCATCAAGGATGAATATAGAATAAAGATACGTTCAGATTTCATAAGCGTACTTCCCATGCATATTTTTTCAAGAATCTACTAAGAACATGCTTCATCAAAACAAAGAGAAGCTGGGCACTGTGACTCATGCCCATAATCCTAGCTACTCGGGAGGCTGAGGTGAGAGGATCACTTGAGGGCAGGAGTTCTGGACCAGCCTGGGAAACATAGCAGGACCCCACCTCTAAACAACTACAAGAACCATGAAAAATGTTTTTCCAAGGTATTTCTATTTTTCTCCACAGGTGACAACCCCCCCCCAAGAGATCCATGCAGTGGTTAAACTCAGGTGACAGGTGGGCCCCAAACATGCATCAGGAAGTACCAGGAGGGCTTGTTAAAACGGAGATTGCTGGCCCCACCCCCAGAGTGGATTTCACCTACCCAGCCGTACTTTTCTCCTCTTTCCTTTTTAATTAATCCACCCTTGAAATCCAAATTAAAAATGTTTTGAACTATTAAATATCCAATTGCAATATCTAGATTTTTTCACAGCTGTCCCCTTTTCTCTGTATGGTTTTCTGCTTGATCCTGATTTTGCTCATACTTCTGCATGCTCATGGCTACCTTTCTTGCCCAAGGGGTGACTGTTACCCCCGAGGGGGGATATAACTGCGCTTGGCTCCCTCCTGCAAGGGATCCTGAGTGGGCTGAGCTCCTGTGGGCTATTAAATAAATGTAGCATTTCGAGGTTATTTCCCTCAACTGCCAAGTACAGAGGAGGGGGAAAACCCCTAGAAGCCTGTCAGCAGCTAGAACAACTGGCACTGGGGAGAGGATGGGGGTGGAAGGAGCAGCCACAGTGGTAGCCCCCGACCTTCAGAGCTGGGTCTCCAGGTGCCAAGAAGGTCACTCCTTCTCTGCCCAGCCCACACTGCAAGAACTGAAGTTCCCAGATGTTTGTCTGAGACCTCATAAGAGGGAGGCTGCAGTGACAGCCGGGAACCCTCAGGGTGGGGGTCTCATCCACTGCAGGAGAGTGTCGTGGTCACGAGCCTCACCCTGAAGGGGCTCTGGTCAGTAAGAGCCTCATGAAAGAGAAGGGGCCGCAGGAGAGTCACACAGCTGGGTTTTTACCCTCTGCTGCGACTGAACATGCAGGAAGAGGGCAGAATTTTTTTTTTCTTTTAGACGGAGTCTCACTCTTGTTTGCCCAGGCTGGAGTATAGTGGTGCTATCATAGCTCACTGCAGCCTTGAACTCCTGGGCTCAAGTGATCCTCCCACCTCAGCCTCTGGAGTTGCTGGGGTGACAGCCGTCCGGCAGAATTGTTTTTGAACTAGTCTGGGTAACCCTTCTTTTCTCCTTCTGGGGCTACAGGCCTGAGAGTCTCTTCCGGCACCACAGACGCTTACATCTAAGCAGACCTCCCTGGCCTTCCTGAAGATAGTGAGAAGTGAGCATGGTGGGGATGAGAAAGGAGGGGGATGAGAAAAGAGGGGAAGATGCCACTGCCCTGGTGCCAACTCCAGGAACCTTCAAATTCAAAATCTGGCTATTCCATGGGATTGCCAAACATTCAGCCCAGCTGCGTTTTGAAAGGGTGTTCTGGCTACATGCTTTATCAGTTCTCTGATAGCTGATAGCTGATATCAGATATCAGCTACAATCCTTAATGCAGCCTCTTTTAACTTCCCTATAAACTACCAAGAAAACATAAAAATAAAAGGCACAAACCATGGCAAATTCATGCCAAATCTCAGAGGAACTGATAATAATTGTAGGCAGATTGAGCCAGGTCTACTCAGCAATGCCAGGCAGTTTTAGGAATTTTAGTCTTCTCACCTTTGGGATGGCTTCCCAGGCCTCGGATTTAGCTTGTTGTAAGGGGTCCGTGGGTTTTGCTAGATTTTGCTTAAAACTAGACGCCAAAATTTGGGGAAAAATGATGAAGTGGCAACTCGGGAAACATTTACATTATTCATAAACTAAAATAAACACTTGGAGAAACAAAATAACCAAATTCCTATACATTCATTACCCAGAGTAGTTGCTTTATATAGTTTATATCTTGAGAAGGACTCAAGTACAGAAGGCTCACTATGCATTAGCAGCAGCGGTGTTTTAATGCAAGCCGTTGTATTGCTCATTTTGTGGGAGGCAGTGGAGCGGAATGATGGAAAGCAGACAGAGACCAAAGGACCTGGAGAACAGGAAGCCCTCCCCTGCCTGTGCAAATTCAGGAAAGGCAAGAAAGGGTGGCACTGTCAATGAAAAACTTTCAGATTCTGCTGCCACCTTGTGGCAGTCATACCACAACACGGTGTCCCATGCTCTGGGGCTATCCTGGGCCTCCTGCGTCAGTCATATCTAGGGCCATAAAAAGATCAAGGTAGGCATACATATTATTTTTTGTGTGCATACAACAAGAATGGAGAAAAAATATTTTTTAAATCATAGGAAATTATAGCATAATGAGAATACCAATATCTTTGGAGCTATGCAAACTTCATTTATACTCCTGACTCAGCAACGGCCTAGCTGTGTGACGCTGGGCAAGTCACTTTAACCCCTCGGTAAGCCCTATCTATTACGTGGCAATGATAATAGTATAGTACCTCCCTCATGATAAGAGGTGAAATGGGAAAATGACTGTTTGGCACTGAATTCCTGGCATATGGTGCTCAGTTAATTACAAATGATTCATACAAGTACACAAGGAAATTAGGTTAGTTCCTTTCTGGGAGGCTTTTCTTCTTTTTAATGTCAGGTGCACAGTTGGAATTCATAAAAATCCTTGGTTTATAATGCGTGTTCATCACTGGCTATTAAACACATAAAAATGTGATTTTAGCTGGGATTGGATGACACAGAATTCAACAATTTAGTGTCATTCCAACATTGAAAGAACACAAGGACACACCTGCTTGTGCACACACATACATATACACACATGCATTCACACACAAAGGTATAAGCACCTTTCAATTGGTTATAGGAACTCACTTCATCCTTGTGCCAATTTTGTCATGCTGCCGTCTTCAAGGAGGACTGTTCCCTATCTTATCTAGGCTATGTGGGTGTGGAATCTGCAGGATTTTAATGGTTACCTTTAAGTCTAGTGGGAGTGAGCTCTAACGTATGAGGAAGGGTGTATTGTGACTCTCCATAAAGGGGTACAGTGGACAAAGTGGAGGAAGGAAAGGCCCTATGCTGAGAAAGATGGCTAAGTTCTTTCTGGAGGACAAGGTAAGTAAGAGGTTGGTATTTTGCATTTTTTCCTAGTGAATTTATTTATTTATTTATGTTTGAGACAGAGTCTTACACTGTTCCCCAGGGCTAGAGTGCAGTGGCGTCCTCACAGCTCACAGCAACCCCAAACTCCTGGGCTAAGGCAATTCTCCTGCCTCAGCCTCCTGAGTATCTGGGGCTATAGGCAGACCATGACACCTGGATAATTGTTCTACTTTTTGTAGAGATGGGGTCTTGCTCTTGCTCAGGTTAGTCTTGAACTCATGCCCTCAAGTGTCCTCCCGCCTCCGCCACCCAAGGTGTTAGGATTACAGGCATGAGCCACTGCACCTGGCTTAAAATTTGTCTTTTAGTTTTTAAAAAATAACTTTTCGTTATTGTTTTATTTGTTTGTTTGTTTGTTTGTTTGTTTGTTTGTTGAGACAGAGTCTCACTTAGTCGCCCTGGGTCGAGTGCAGTAGTGTCATCATAGCTTACTGCAACCTCAATCCTGGGCTCAGCCATCCTTCTTCCTCAGCCTCCCCAGTAGCTGGGACTACCACGCCAGGATTTTGCTCAGGCTGGTTCCCTGAACTCAAGCGATGCTCCTGCCTCAGCCTTCCAGAGTGCTAGGATTACAGGCATGAGACACTGTGCCCGGCCCTTTTTCCTAATTACTTCCGTAGTTATGTCTTTACTCCTTTCTTAAGACTTTATTGTTTTTCTAAAATTCTAAGTGGAATATTCAGTTTGTCAGTTCTCTGTTTCAGCTAATAAAAACATTTAAAGCTATGAAATTATATCTGAAACACACTGTTGTCCATGTATCTGGGACTTGATATGTTGTGATTTTATTCACTCTTTCTCTAAAGAATCTAATATGATAATCTTAATTTCTCTATGACTCTAGTACTATTGGATAATTTTCTTTTTTTTATTTTCAGGTGACTGGGTTTTCTTACTTTGTTTCGACATATTCACTGGTTACCATGTGGCTAGAGAATGTGATCTATATCTGCAGTCCTCAACCCCCCAGGGCCATGGACCAGTACCATCTGCAGCCTGTTAGGAACCTGGTTGTGGAGCTCCACCTCCCAGCCCCATGGAAAAATTGTCTTCGATGAAACCGGTCCGTGGTGTCAAAACAGTTGAGGACTCCTATATGATTTCTGCTTTTGGGGAATTTATTAAGCTTTCTTCTATGCAATCAATTTTTATGAATATTTGCAGCTGATACGCAATTTTGCAGGCCACAGATTCAGGTTTAGTTAGAAAATGTAATTTATTTTCTATTGCACACTTTTCATCTATTTTAAGTATCTATTTTTAAAAAAAAAAAACACCAACCACTCACACATGTTTAATAATATTGGTCAGTTCCAGGTAAACTCAGCCACTTTTATTTTTCCCAGGATTATCCCAATTAGTGTTTCCTCCTTCCCACCTTCTCCCTGGAGGTTGCATCTAGTCATGAGGCACGTTTGTAGCATTAAGGGAACATCATCTGAATGTTCTGAGGTCATCACCTGTCCATTTTGGCAACCATTGAGATGTATGTCATCTTTCCCTCCCACGCCTTTGTCACCTGTCACAGACTTTGCAGACATTAACTTAGTGCCCTGTTTCCCACGTTTCCTAGTTTTGCACAAATGCACTTCTGGGCCAGACCTCAAGGCCACTTTCACTTCTCCCAGCCACCTTTGTGCCCCTTTTGGGCAAAGCGAAACCTTGCACACTCTGTGAGCAATTCTGCGGTCTGAGGAAACGCAGGGCTGTCCCGGCTCTTCTTCTAGTCCTTGTACAACCTTAGTCCCTCACCAGGCTGCTGTGGGCTGACTTCTACAAGGTTTACTGTTTCTCTGTTCTCCCCGGAAAATATCCACTTTTGGATCTCACGCCCCTAACTTGGAGTTTTTATAACCCCTTCAGGGCAGTTTCAACCCCCAGGAAGGGGTGGGGTGGACAAAGGGCCGGACCCCTTTCGCAGAGACTCACGCCACATCTGACTCTCGTGTCCTACCAGCATCTCTAGTCCAAGGCTGCATCATCCGAATCCACCGGGTCTCCGCTGCGCTTTGGCGCCACCTGGTGGTGGCCCGGCGGCTCCGGCGCAAAGCCGCTGGCGACGGTGAAGGCGAGTTGGGAGCGGGCTTCCGCCTGGCGGTGCCTCTCTCTCCGGCGTCCGCCCGGATGGACGGCGCCTGCTGTGTCGGAGGAGCTGGGAGACAGGACAACAGAGAATACCGAGGACACGGGGGTCCACTTTCCGTTTCCAAAAGTAAGGTGGCCTGTGTTTTCGCTGCCGGGCCGTTCCACCACGCCCACCCCACCAACAAAAGGCAGTCCTCGGCCCTTGGAGATGGAAAACAATGACTGCCTTCCGCTAGGTCGGAACCCGCGAGGTGGTGCGGGCGCGCTACCGTCGGGCTTCACTCCTTAGCCCTCCGGGTGTGCTCCCGGCTCTGGAACAGGCGGCGACCACCAGTCTTCGGAAGTGCGCGATTCCCTGTCCCAGACAGGCGGGAATCAGGACGCGGGTGCTGGGGCCGGCAGGGCTGGAGATCGAACCCCCAACCAGCTTTCCGCTGACCCCACGCCAAGACGAGCTGGGAAGGAGAGAGAAAGAGGAACGGAGTCGGAAAGTGAGAGACAGGACGACTGCCCAAGGCAGCGGTCACAGTGGCTGGCTTCTCCTGGGGCATTGCCCTGTGAGAGTTGAGGCCCCTTGAATTTTTTGCTGAACTGTGTTTTTTGTCTGATATTAAATTTGCTAATCTTCTTTAGACCCAACTTTTACAACAACTGTTGTTTATTTGTGTTCACATTAGTTTCCTAGGGATGCTGTCACAAAATTACCACAAACTGGGTGACTTAATACAAATTTATCCTCTGGCATCAAGGGAAGGGCAAAAGTGTCAGCAGGGCTGTTCTCCCTCCAGAGGCTCTAGCGGAGAATTGTTTCTCGCCTCTTCCAGCTTCTGGGGACTCCAGGGGTTCCTCAGCTTGTGGCTGCATCACTCCCATCTCTGCCTCCATCTTCTAATGTCTGTGACGCAGGGAGTGTCCCAGTGAAGGGAGGAAGGCCCCTTGAACTGCAAAGTGGGCAGTTGAATTCGAGAGCCGGCCAACTAGTGATAGAAAGTTTATTGAGAGAGACACATAATAGATCCTACTCCATAGACTAGGAGTCTTTTCACAAGCAGGACAGGGACACCTTATAGGGCAACATTTTTATGTGTCCAAAAATCCCCATTAGGAAACAGCCATTTGTGACCAGCGTTGTCTGTTGTCACAGAAAGTAAGTGCAAACAGTTTGTAAGGCATCTGGCTTAGTAATCCATCCATCCTCTGCTGGTCCCCAACCAGCAACTTGCTGGTGCTTCCTTGTTCAGGGAGGTTAGGGTCTGGAACCGTCAAAATGGCTGCACTTAGGCTCACTCCACCTTCCCTTTTTGCCTTTTCCCTACATTAGCCCTGGCCTTCTCTGTGTGTATGTCTTCTCTTCTGTCTCTTATAAGGATCATTAAATTTAGGACCCATCCTGATAATCTCAAGGATGATCTCAAGATCATTAACTTAATTACATATACAAAAATACTTGTCTCAAATAATGTCAAATTTAGGAGCTCATGTATTAGGACATGGATATATCTTATTAGGGGTCATCTTTCAACCCACTACAACATGTATGTGTGTGTGTGTGTGTGTGTGTGTTCACACATTTTATTATTCTACTATTCACATTTTGGTACATTTCTTTCAGGGGTTGGTTATATGTAGAAATAAAAATTTCAAACTAAATAATTTTTGTTTTTTTGAGACAAGGTCTTACTCTATAACCTGGGCTAGAGTGCGGTGCTATCATCATAGCTCACTGTAACTTCAAACTCCTGGGCTCAAGCAATCTTCCTGCCTCAGCATCCCCGATAACTAGGACTACAGGTGCACACCACCATGCCCAGCTAATTTTTCTATTTTTTGTAGAGATGAGTTCTCACTCTTTTGCTCAGTCTGGTCTTGAACTCCTGGCCTCAAGTGACCCTCCTGCCTTGGCTTCCCAAAGTGCTAGGATTACAGGCATAAGCCACTGTGCCTGGCAATAACTTTTAAACTAAATTTGATTCATAGACTCTATACAGGTTTTATTCTATTTTTCCATAATGAGTTTTTTCATCTTTAAGTATTAATTCAAAGTATGATTCTAATGGCTGCACCATAGACCATCTTAAATGTGCTAAATTTTGTTTAAACATTTAGTTAATATTGAACACTCATAACTTTTTGGTAAGATAAATAAATGAACTAATGAGCAAAAATCTAGCTTCTAAAGCTGCAGTTCCCAACCCCACCGGTAATGGTCTGTGGCCTATTAGGAACCCGGCCCCACAGCAAGAGGTGAGTCTCAGGTGAACAAGCCAAGCTTCACCTGTATTTACAGCTGTTCCCTATGGCTCCCATTACCACATAAGCTCCACCTCCTATCAGATCAGCAGTGGCATTAGATTCTCATGGGAGCACGAATCCTACTATAAACTGCACATGCGAGGAATCTAGGTTGCATGCTCCTTTCGAGAATCTAATGCCTGATGATCTGAGGTGGAGCTGAGGCGGCAATGCTAGTGCTGGGGAGCGGCTGCAAATACAGATTATCATTAGCAGAGACGTTTGACTGCACAATAATGTAATGTGCTTGAATCATCCCCAAACCATCCCCACCCCCAGTCCACAGAAAAATTGTCTTCCATAAAACTGATCCCTGGTGCCAAAAAGGTTGGGGACTGCTGTTCTAAAGGACAATTTGTTGCCTTTGCTGCCCCACATCCATTGCCCCTTCTTCTCATACACTATCCTAAGTTTTCTTGGGGAACTAACATTGGATAATGATTGGTGAGACCCAGCAATTAAGATATACTAAACATTTCTAGATTAAAAAATAGACAAATCAGATTTCAGGAAAAAAATTGAGGGTATCAAAAGATACTATCAACAAAGTAAAAAAGCAACCTATAGAATAGGAGAAAACATTTGCAAATCATATATCAGACAAGGGGTTAATATCTAGAACATATAGAGATCTCCCAAAATAACAACAATAAAAAACTTGATTGAAAAATGGGCAATGGACTTGAACAGACATTTCCCCAAAGAAGAGAAACAAATGGCCAATAGGCACATGAAAAAATGCTCAATATCATAATCATTAGGGAAATGAAAATTGAAACTACAATGAGATATCCCCTCATATCCATTAGGTTTAAAAAAAACACACAGAAAATTAGCAAGTGTTGTGAGGTTGTGAAGCAATTGGATCTCTTGTGCACTGTTAATGGGAATGTAAAATGGTACAGCCACTGTAGAAAACAGTATTGCAGTTCCCCAAAATATTAAAAATAGAATTACTGTATGATCCAGCAACTCCACTCCTGGTATATACCCCAAATAATCGAAAACAAGGTCTTGAAGAGAGATTTGTACAGCCTTGTTCACAGCAGCATCATTCACAATAGCTAAAGCATGGAAGCAGCCCAAGTGTCCACTGAAAGATGAATACATAAGCAAAAGGTGGGATATACACACGGTGGAATATCGTCCAGCCTTAAAAAGGAAGGAAATTCTGACACGTGCTACAACATGGATGAAGGAGGACATTATGCTAAGTGAAATAAGCCAGTCACAAAACAACAAATACTGTATGATTCCATTTATTTTAGGTACTAAGAGCAGTCAAAAATCATAGAGATAGAAAGTGTTTGTCAGGAGCTGAGGGCAGGGGAACAGGGAGTTACTGTTTAATAGGTATAGAGTGTTCGTTTAACAAGATGAAGGAATTATACAGATGGATGATGGTGATGGTTGCACAATATGAATGTTTTCAATACCACTGAATTTACACTTAAAAATGTTCAAGATGGTAAATTTTATGTATTTTTTAACATAATAAAAAAAATAGGAAAATAAGGAATGGGGCCCTAATCCAGTAGGAGTGGAGTGTTATAAAGAAGATGAAGAGCCTTGCCCTCCGTTGTCTGCCGGCCTGGCCGGCAGCAGAGCACTGGGCCTTCTGAGCCTGGTGCATTTCAGCCGCCACCAAAATCGGTTATCGTGGACAAGCGTTGCCTGCCGGGTCAGGAAACCAGGTTTTTGAGTCCTGAATTCATTCCTCCAAGGGGAAGAACAGATCCTCTGAAATTTAAACTAGAAAGAAAAGAAATGTTAGAAAGGAGAAAAGTACTCTGCATTCCAGAGTTGTATGTTGGAAGCATACTTCGTGTTACTACAGCTGACCTATATGCCAGTGGAAAAACCAGCCAATTTCTAGGGATTTGCATCCAGAGATCAGGATCAGGCCTAGGAGCTACTTTTATCCTTAGGAATACTATTGAAAGACAGGGTGTTGAGATTTGCTTTGAACTTTATAATCCTCGAGTTCAGGAAATCCAAGTGGTCAAATTAGAGAAACGGCTGGATGATGGTTTGCTGTACTTAAGAGATGCCCTTCCTGAATATAGCACTTTTGATGTGAATATGAAGCCAGTGTCACTAGAGGCTGGCCAAGAAGTCCCTGTTAATAAGGTATGGGTTGTATGCTTGAAACTGGAAGTTGAAGTGTAAAATAAGAATCATCTTAATGAAAACTTTAGTAGAAGTTTTGCTTATGTCTATCAGCCTAATTCCTTTTTTTTTTTCTTTTTTCTTTTTCTATCTTCCTTAGCTGAAAGTCAAAATGGAGCCTAGGCCCTGGTCCAAACGATGGGAACGTCCAAAATTTAATATTAAAGGAATAGGATTTGATCTTCATTTAACTGAGGAACAAATGAAAGAGGCTCAGAAGTGGAGTCAGCCGTGGCTTGAGTTTGATATGATGAGGGAACATGATACTTCAAAAATTGAAGCTGAAATATGGGAAGAAATTCAAGCGTCAAAGAACTCCTGATTTGAATATGAATTGGTTCCTTGCAGAGGATATATTGACTCCGAGAGGATTTATTTTGAGACCAGTTTAATTTCATTTATAAGAACATAGTCATTATGGCTGGGTGCAGTGGTTCACACCTGTAATCCTAGCACTCTGGGAGGCCAAGGCGGGTGGATTGCTCGAGGTTAGGAGTTCGAAACCAGCCTGAGCAAGAGTGAGACCCCGTCTCTACTATAAATAGAAAGAAACTAATTGGCCAACTAATATATATAGAAAAAATTAGCCGGGCATGGTGACGCATGCCTGTAGTCCCAGCTACTCGGGAGGCTGAGGCAGAAGGATTGCTTGAGCCCAGGAGTTTGAGGTTGCTGTGAGCTAGGCTGGTGCCACGGCACTCACTCTAGCCTGGGCAACAAAGCGCCTGTCTCAAAAAACAAAACAAAACAAAAAAAAACAAGAACATAGTCATTAAATGAACTAAGCATTTATTGTTTTATTAGTACTTTTTAAAAAAATAACATTTGCATGCCAGTTTATTATTCTAAAAAGAGAAATATACATGCCAAATGGTCTGATGTCCATTCCCTTACTGGCAGCAAAGTTGCTATAAAAGTCAAAGCATCACCAGAACACTCTTCATTCAACATGGAATCCGGGCAAGTAGTTTCTTTAAATTATGAAATTGTAAATACAGAACAATATGATTTAAAGAATAATAAAATGAACACTCATGCAACCACAAAAAAAAAAAAAAGATGAAGAGACAGCAGAGAGCACTCTCTCCCCGTGTGTGCACACAGAGGCAAGGCCATGTGAGGACACGACAAGAAGGGGGCCACCTGCCTGCCAGGAGGAGAACCCTCACAAGACACCAATCCCAATGACACCCTGACCTTGGACTTCTAGTCTTCAGAACTGTGAGAAGATGAATGTTTGTTGTTTAGACAAAACAAAAAGTTAACTCAGAATGGATCAAAAACCTAAATTTAAGAGCTAAAAACTATATAAGGCTTACAGCCGTAATCCAGTGTGGAACCCTTCTGTCATTCCAAAAAGTTCCCTCATGCTTGTTTGCAGCTAATTATTGCTTCTACCCTAAGTCTGAGATAACCACTGATTTGCTTTCTGTCTCTATAGTCTTTCCCTTTCTAGAAATTTCATGTAGGTAGAATCATACAATATATTGTTATATGTGTCTGACTTCTTTCATGAGATTCAACTATGTTGTTGCATGCATCAGGACTTTGTTCCTTTTATTGTTTATTGTATGGATATATCACATTTTATTTATCTACTTACCAGCTGATGGAAATTCATATTGTTTCCAGTTTGGGGCTATTGAATAATGCTGCCATGAACATTTACATATACGTCACATTGCCATGAACATTTGAATATAAATATTGTTTGAATTTTGTTATTACAATGTTAATGGTCATATTTTAACAATTTGCCATTGCAGTAAAGAAATAATTCCTCAACACTGTCCGTTTGCTGTTGTGGTCACTATACTGAATATTTGTAATACTAGATAGATGCTCGTTTTCTACTGAGGTGGGGAAGAGAGCAAAATAGCTTTTGTCTTGCTCTGCCATGATGACCTGGTGATGATGATGTTACCACCATGTTATTGAACACTTCTTTCTCTTTAATGGTACCTGACCAAGGTAAAGATGTCTTCTTTCACTGCTTGATTAAACAATAAGTTGATAGTGACAGAACATTTTCATTATGGCAGTTTTACAAACTGAAGCTTCGTGCACTGCTGAAAGGAAATGCTCCCTGAACACTTTCAAAATCAGATTTAAGGTGATCACGCTCATGTATAACTTTTATTTATAGTAATTTTTTCATGCACTTGCTGCATTGCACAATCACTTTAGAAAAAATACTTGTCTTTAAACCTTGAATCTTGACATAGGACACAAGAGAACAGTATGATTTAAATTCTGAATTTACATCTGCAGCTCAGGTTTTATTACATGTACATCAATTTTGAAATTGTCACTAGAGTAGACTGATAGGAGAATCTTTCCAGCAGGTTTCAGTGAAAGGAATATTGCCCTCGCAAGATAACTGAGTTGGTTACTTCACCAGGTTCCAGCAAGTAAACTCCTTTCTCTACAAACCACGATGGGTTGTTACAAAGTCCTGCTATGTCGCTATTGCTTCTTCAAGGTAAAATACCAAGGCTTTCTTTTGGTTGAGCAGCCTTTTTAATGTATAATAACTGCTATTTTATATTATTTGAACATTGTGAGTAAGCACATGACAAGTTAGTTCCAAAGTATCTTGCATGTCACATAGTTTGTTCTGGCCAAAGAAGAATATGGAAAAGGTCTGCCTACTCTCACTCTGGTTATTGCCAGTAATCCATGGTGCTATCTTATTTTTTAAAAAGGCTTCTGGTTGTTTCTGCATGTCCAAGTGTCTGATGTAGAGGGTACAGAAGTAGCACATTTAATAATATCATTAACCTTTTTATACACAGCAGGCTTTAATTCTAGGGAAACTGTTTTTAGTAACACATTTTATAGAAGGAACTTTATATCTTCATCAAATGTCAAAAATCCTTCATCTTCTACCACTAAAAATAGCCAGCAGTCTATAGCAATATTTTTGTCAAGCTTTCTGTTTAAATTTTTGCATAGCCTCAAAAGTAAAAGGAATTACCTTCTTGACACATTTTTATTAAGTCTTGTTTGGAAGTTTGATCAGTAAAAACATAATGGGTTTGAGATATCTCATTTTTCTCTGAAAGTTTCTTCTTTTATTCACAGTCAGTATACCTTGTTATATCTGTGTCAGAGTTGTTTCAGCACGGATATTGTTCTACATGATTTTAGAGTTTTCCTCCTCAGAAACTTCTGAGGTGGCGATGCTGATATTCTCCTGTAAGTCATCCTCACAAGATGTAAAAACTTCCCAAATAGGGCTTTTTCTTGAAAGATTCCAAGCTAAATTAATTAAAAAATAACAAAAAATGAAGCATAGTTCTTAAAGAATGTCTTGTTTAATGTTATGAGTGCTAAAATGCGAGGTAAGTCTACCAAGATTAAAATTCTGATATAATTTGTGTTTATTCTTTTTTTCTAGTACATTTATGTTTTTAAGAAGCTGTTTATTTGTTTATTGTTTTAATAAGAAATACATTTACATGGTTTACAAAACCAAAATAATATATAAGGGTATACTCTGAATATACTCACTTTCACCCAAATTCCATTCTTCCTCCTCTATAATCAACTAGTTTTATAATTTGTTGGGGATTTGTCCATTACTTAATATGCAAATGTTAGAAAATCTAAATATGTTATTCTTCCTTTATTGCACAAAAGGTAACATAATATATACTTTTTTCTCTTCTTCACTTTGCCTTCTTCATTCAATGTAGACTAGAGATTCTTTCATATCACTATAAAGAGAAATTTTTATTCAATTTCATAGATGCATATTATTCCATTATTTAGGAGGTACCATAGTATATTTAACCAGGTCCCTGTTTATAACATTTGGATCTTTTCCAATATTTTGTTGTTATAAGCAATGCTGCCATGCATAAACTTGAACATAAGTTATTTCATATATGTGAAGTACAGTTGAGGTAAATTTCCAGAAGTGGGATTACTGGTCAGAGGGTAGAAGCACTTGTAATTTTGAAAGATATTTCCAAATTGCCTTCCATAGGACTGTAATGTTTTGGGCCTCAGTTAGCAATGCATAAGAGTTCCTTGCTAAAATTATGTGTCATCAAATGTTTAGATTTTTTTTGACAAGCTCATAGTTGAGAAATGGCACATCAATTTTGTTTTAATTTGCAGTTCTCATAGTTTGAGTGAAATTGAGCATCTTTTATGTGTTTAAAGTCATTTGCATTTCCTTTTCTGAGAACTCTCTGTTCATGTCCTTTGCCTATTTTTATATTGGGTTGTCTTTTTTGTCTTGATTTCAATGAACTCTTTATATATTGAAGAGATTAGCACTCTGTCAATCATATGGATTGCAAACTTTTTCTATTTTCTATTTTTCTCTGTCTTATAACTTTGCTTCCTTTTTTGCCATAAAAATCTTTTTTATTATAGTAAAATATATCAATCTCTTCTTTATTCCTTTTACTATTCTTTTTTTCCTTGCAGAACTCAAGTCTATCAATCTCTTCTTATTTGGCTTCTGGATTTTAAATCATAGAAAGGCCTTCCACACTCCAATGTTACAAAGAAATTTGTCCATGTTTTCTTCTACTACTTTTATGGTTTTATTTTTTCTATAAAATCTTTGCTCTCTCTCTCTCTCTATATATATATATATATAACCAGCCTAGCTCATAGCAACCTCAAACTTCTGGGCTCAGGCAATCCTATTGCCTCAGCCTCCCAAGTAGCTGGGATTACAGGCATGTACCACCATGTCCAGTTAATTCTTTCTATATATTTTTAGTTGTCAAGCTATTATTTTTTTAGTAGAGCCAGGGTCTCACTCTTGCTCAGGCTGGTCTCGAACTCCTGAGCTCAAAAAATCTGCCCACCTCGGCCTCCCAGAGTGCTAGGATTACAGGCGTGAGCCACCATACCTGGCCTGGAGTTTATTTTGATGTATAGTGTGGGGTATGGATCCAACTTTATCTTTTCTGGATAAATACTCAGTTGTAACATGATTTATTTGCCTTGAGATGCCTCCTTTATTATAAGCAAAATTTCCTATGCTCTTCATCTTTTTCTGGATTTTTCTTTCTGTTTCTTTGTCTGTGTGTCTACTTGCGTGCCAGAACTATACCATTTCTATAGTATGTTTATGGTAGAACTAGTCTCCTTCAATTGCTCTTCTTTTCAGACTTTTCCTGTCTATTCTTTTTTACTCTTTATTTGGAAATAACTTCAAATTTGCAAATATAATTGCAGACATAAAAGTAATACATTGAACAGCTACAGATCCTTTACCCAGGTTCACAATTGCTAATATTTCTTTTGTTATGTTGTCTTGTCTTTCTCCCTCACATATAGCTTTTTTGCCAAACCATTTGAGGGTAAATTTCATACATCATGGCCCTTTACTCCTAAGTACTACCAAATGTGCATTTCCTTGAAAATAGAGATATTCTCTTATATAACCACAGT